GGTCTAATTTATATACAAATCTTGGTATTTTAGTGATGTAAATGCACATGTAATAAACGATCTGTACGTATACATCTGTGGTCATAAGCAATAACCGCCTAAGTCGAATTAAGAAAGAATTCCCACGACAGCCGGTTCTACGTACCGGAATGACTCGGGTTTTACCCGACCAAGGGCTGTTGTTTCGGCGATCTAACCCAGTTTAGGTCGGCGAAATCCATCAAACGTTGCTCTATTCTAGGGCTACATCTGCTCCGTACCCTTCTGCTCAGGGCTGGCATTGAGTCCAACCTAGGGCCAGAAACTTACACCTGCTGCGTGTGCCAGAGACGACTGCACACAAACTCCACCACGGTCAGGTGCAATGCCTGTGATGGGTGGAGTCACCTCCGCAACTGCTCGGGCCTACGTACGCACCGGCAATGGACCACGTCGTTAGTGGCCCCATGCTGTGCGAACCGGACCGCCTCCACGGCAAACCACCACCCGCCCGTGCAGCACACAACCAACACACCCATACCCCAACACAACACAATAATAGAGACACACACAAACACAATAGCACCCACACACCGCCGCCGGCAACTCCTAGTCCCTCCAACAATCTGCTCGGTTTGTCCGTCCAGAATATACCGTAATGTGACATCAGTCAAGTGCAACTCCTGCCTTGGCTGGTGCCACTTTAGGGCATGCTCAGGACTTCGCACCACGCGTGATTGGACGAGTGACTATGTGGGCCCCTGCTGTGCTGCCCTGTCGCATACCTCCCCCGCGACGCCGCCAACCACCACCACAAGGCAGCACCCCCTTTTGCAGCACGTACAGCAGGGAGCCGGTAGGCAACAAAACTCCTTAACACCACACATAACAATCGGTCTGCCAAGGCACACAAAGGTGCTACAATTTAACTGTAACGAACTCCAGAGCAAGATCGATGAGATAACCGTCTTTATGGGAAGGCATGGAATATTAATAGCTGCGGTCCAAGAGACGAAGTTGCACGGCAATTCAACCTTGTTGAATTGCGCCGGATACAAGGTGCACCGTCGAGATCGCGAGCGAGACAATGGTGGAGGTTAGCGTTCATCACGCATCACACCCTGCAGTATATTATTAAAGCAGACATCGACCGCATGGATACCATCCTAGAATGTCAGGGTATTGCTATCCGGTCAGGCGAAGTTGAGCTAGAAATATTTAACGTATACATACCGTCTGTCAACAGCTGCCTGGCAGGATATCACCCTGAAATAGGTGCGCTACTCAGAGGTGAAAACCGTATGGGAGTTGGCGGCTTTAACGCGCACCACGATGTTTGGCACTCAAGCCTGTCAAATGATCGTAGGGGAATACATCTGGCTGAGCAGATAGACGATTCGACATTCTGCACAATGAACGACGACGCACCCACCAGGATTATGGGCAGCTGCTACAGTTCGCCAGATCTAACAATTGTCAGCGCTGGTCTGATCACCAGCGTATCATGGCGACCTATGCTGACCCTAGCATCAGACCATCTGCCCATAGTAATCTTGACTGATAAACCTGCCGACTTTGCTTCCGCGGATCACCGGATCTATGTCAACTTTTCCAAAGCTGACTGGAAAGGCTTCGCGGATGCTACTGAAAGCGCCTTCACTGCACTACCCATACCAACCGACGTCCACATAGGTGAACGTAGATTCCGCAGGGTTGTCACTGCTGCTGCAGCTCGCTTCATCCCAGCAGGATGTATTAAGGATCCACGTCCGAACTTTCCTGCGGAAGCGGCAGTTCTAGCCGATGAGCGTGTCAGCCTTCGTCAACCGATCCCGGAAATCCCCGTATCAGGGATCTCAATTCGGAGATTCGGCAACTTGTGAACGTACATAAGCGGAAGAAATGGGAAGAGCATTTGAAGACCTGCAACTTCGCCTCTGGTGTGAGTAAGCTTTGGTCAACCGTGAGGTCGTTGGTCAACCCGACGAAGCGTGACGACAGAGTCGAAATAGACTTTGGTGACCACGCTTCGTTGGACCCGGAGCGATGCGCGAGCTATTTTAGCCGGCAGTTTATTCTGCATCCTCCGGTGGATAAAGCCAAACGTCGAGTGACCAGAAGGCTGCACAAAATGCCAAAACCCATTGCGCCTCTTGTTTTCACTAGCGGTGAGGTAAGGGTAGCCATCGGGAAGGCGAAAGCCATTGGACCCGACGGAATATGCATGTTGATGCTGAAAAATTTTGGTCCTGCGGGAGTAGCGTACCTAATGGAGGACCTCCACTCGTCCACTCTCGTCATTCCAGACATATGGAAGATGGGGAGAGTGGTCCCACTGCTCAAACCGGGGAAACCAACCAACAAAGGAGTCTTTTCGCCCGATAACCCTCTTTTCCCCGGTAGCGAAGACACTAAAGGCCTTGCTACTCCCGTATTTCACGAACCACCTGACACCAGCGAAGCATCAGCATGGGTTCCATAATGTGCATAGCACAACAACAGCACTTAACGCTATAAACACTCAGATAACTCGTGGCCTTAACCGAAACCGCCCCTGTGAGAGAACTATTCTAGTACCTGGCCAAGGCGTTCGACACTGTCAGTCATTCAACGCTGCTAGAAGACATAGAGGACTCCTCTCTCCCACAGGGACTCAAACGGTGGTCGGCGAATTACCCGAGTGGTCGACATTCGTCAGCAATTTTCAGAGACAAAACGAGCAAGCCATGTAAAATTAAACAGGGGGTACCACAGGGTGGTGTCCTGTCCCCACTACTGTTTAATTATTACATCTCTAACCTTCCTCAACCACCAGAGGGTATCAATATTGTCTCTTATGCTGACGATTGTTCGATCATGGCGTCTGAGAATGGAATTGATGACTTGTTCTCGAAAGTAAACGGTTATCTCGCCGAACTTTCTCGCTTCTTCAATGCAAGGAGCCTTCCCCTATCCAATGCGTAATCCTCGGACACCCTATTCACCACCTGGACGAAGGAGGTCAGACTGCAACTGGGTATTGACGTTGATGGCGTAACAATACCGACGTGAATAACCCGAAAATTCTCGGAGTTACCATCGAAAGTCTGCTCTCCTTCTCGGCGCATACAACCGCAATTGCCAATAAAGTACTGAGCCGCAACAATGTCCTCAAGCCGCTGGCCGGCAGCACTTGGGGCAAAGATAAAGAAACATTGTTGGCAACATACAAGGCAATTGGCCGGCCGGTTCTAAACTATGCAGCGCCCGTGTGGTCGCCTGGGACTAGCGGGACGCAGTGGATGAAGCTACAGACCTGCCAAAACACGACACTACGAACAGCGACCGGATGCCTCCTGATGACGCCTCAACACCACCTACACGACGAGGCCCAGATGCTCCCAGTCAAGGAGCATAACATAATGCTCTGCAAGCATTTCCTTTTGGGGACCCAGACGTGGCCATCCCAGCAAACAGCTGCTTACAGAAGAGCCCTCGCCAAGGCACGTCAGGAGGCATCTCTACGAACTGACGGACGAAGTCCAGAGATTCATTAAACAACCTCGGGACCCGTCAGCCTACCAACCCTGAGCGGCATTCACAGGGAATCAGTCTTGAGTTATGTAGACTCCCGCCCTGTGAATGCCGTTCTGGGCACACAACCACCGGACGTGGACGGGACAGAACTTTGTCTGCATCGGGAGACCCGCACCACAATAGTCGAACTTCGCTCTGGCTATTGCAGCAGGCTACACTCATACCTGAGCAGAATTAATGAGGATGTGCCCACCCAATGCCCGGCATGTGGAGGGTCGCCACATGACTCTCGGCACCTCTTCACATGCCCTGAAAACCCCACCCAGCTGGCGCCCCTGTCCTTATGGACAGAACCTGTGGAAGTCGCACACTTCCTGGGCCTCCCCTTAGCTGAAACAAACGACAACGTTGACGGATGAACCGACCCGAGCGGGGCTTGGTAACCGCTACAACAACAACAACTTAAGAAAGAATTGAGTTATATATGCTATCGTATTCTGCAACTACTATTCCATGTGTATGTGAAATTCCCATCTAGCCAACTAGGCTTATTAAAGTTACAGATGAACATAACGGTTAACATTACAATCCAAATGTTTAAAACGTTTTTCTTGAATTCAGGTGTTTCGACTAAGGCGGTCATTGGTTATTGCCACCGACATATGCTTATGTGCACGATTTAATTTAACTTAGTTCGAAGTAATTTCTTTAGAATTTTCATAACAATTTCTTTGCAGGTAATATCAAATCACCTTTTCATCGCGTACTCATAGCGCAAATATTTCGTATGGATTTTGCCTACATGCAGCTACGTCGGGCAGCTTCAGAAATTCTGGGCATATCTCCAGACTCTGTCGTTCAGCCTACGGTGGAGCAACTTGCCGACGAAAACAATGAAAACAAACCTATTCTCGTGATTACACAACCAGAAAATGATCCAGGTACCGAAATAAAAAGTGTCGCAGCTAAGAAAATCGGTCTCGAAAAATACACGGAGCTTTCCGTAGGTCGCGGAATGGAATGCCGTGCTTTAAATGCCATACGTCAAGCAGCTGAAGTAGGCAAATGGATTTGCATTAAAAATGTTCATCTCATTCCCGATTGGTTACCAGTGCTTGACCGAGAATTGGAAGTTTTGCAGAAACGCGATGGTTTCCGCCTTTGGCTCATTTGTGAATCAACGCGTAGGTTCAGCGAAACGATTATGTACAAGTTTGTGAAGATTTTATATGAATCTCCAAGTGGTATTAAATACAAAGTTCGTCGTATGTTGCAAAACTTTACGTTAAGTGAATTTCGTGGAATATCTAGGGAGGCGAAGCTAGTCAAAATACGTTTTGTGGTTTTTATTCTTACCGCGGTGCTGCAGGAACGTCGCAAATACATACCACAAGGTTGGTCTAAATATTATGAGTTTGGAGAAGCTGATTTAAAAGCCGCAATGGAAGTGATACATTGGCTAGACTCCATGATATCTGCCGGACGTTGCGATTGGTTCATTATGCAAAGGTTATGTGAAAATGTTGCTTTCGGTGGACGTATCAACAACACCCGTGACTTGCAAGTGCTGCAACGGTATTTAGAAGAGTTTTGTTCTGCTGATGTAATGAACAATTATTGGAGTCCATTGAATACCAAAATGATTGTCCACACAAGTGCACAAGTGCTGGATTATTTAAGCACGATTGCGAAATTCCCAGACGCGGAGGGTCCAGAAGTATTTCAGTTGTCGAATCACACGAATGTAAGCCGTGAAATTGAGCAATCAAAAAAAATTATTAGGGATCTACGCAGAGCTTATTATAAAACAGATAACGCGGAAGAAACAGCTGGCCCTGATCAGGAAAAGAATGAATTGGCTCAGTTAGAGAAACAAATTAAACCGGTGTTAGCACTTTGGCGCAAGTTGGCTGGTGTAAGACTTAGTGAATTACTTCACTGTGTACAATCAAATTTTTGTTATTTATGTTTCAATTATCCTTTCGCCCTAGAAATGTACCGTGCAACGAACCGCCGATGAAATGCGGGAATCTACGCAAGCAGACTCGCCTTGGCAATTATTCGTTATTAGTGAGTTGAAAATAGCGGTTAGGTGTTTCCAGGAAGTGCACCAAACACTCTCGTTGATACACAATTGGTTCAAGTCATTTTCTAGTAGCACAAATTCAGATATAGACATAAACTTGTTGCGAGTTTTGGCTGAAAATCAGGTAAATCAAATTATTTGTGTTCATATAGTATATATCTCTTATGCAGCTTAATGTTTGCAGGTTCCTGTTTCATGGTTACGCTGTTGGAGCGGTCCGTCATCAACTGTTGATTACATACGGGCAATTATTGTGCGTGTGCAGGCCGCCGAACTGCGCTATCGTTTGGAACTACATTTAGATTTTGGACACACAATAGACCTCAGATCCGTTTTCCATGTCGAAAGATTACTTTCCAGTCTCAAACTTACAAATTCACAACAGTTGGAAACATCTTCCAAAGGGCTCAAGCTGGCGGCCTACGCGGTGAATGGCAATGAGCAAAACAGTGGTCAATCAAATGTCTCGGTTATTACAGTGGCACCACTGAAGGTAAATGTTAATAATGCGACACCTCGTCGTTTTATGCATTTGTATATTTTGCTTATAGTAAACAAATACAACTCACTCCACCGAGTAAACGACCTCTCTGAACGCATCTCTGACGAACGGGGTTTTAGTTGCAAAGTAAAATTTAATAGTTTGTTTAGCTCTTACCTTTCCCATTTTGGCCATAAAATGATACTCCACTGTTGATAACAACTTATTATCTCAGTTGGCCGAGTAACAATTTTCGTTGCCTAGGCTTTTTGCCTTAAAATTAAAATTTTCCAGAATTTTTGTTGGTCTCCCGGTCAGGGTTTGTTTTTGATTGGCAGTTCGGCATAGAGCTGGAAAACTATCGATGGCACCATCGATTGTATCGATGGGTTGCCATCTATTGCCACTATCGACAACATCGATAGGGAACAAATGACAATACTACCAAATCTCGAAATAAAAAAAAAAAAAATTGGATCGATAGAGACCATTGAGGTGAACATAACGGTATATTTATTTTTTTTGGGAAACAACAACTACAACAATTATTAAAGGTCAAAGTTCAAATTAAGCATTTTCTCAAATTAATATTTCTCGAAAACCTCTTCAAGGAATTGGACAATTTTGATGTCATTTGATAGAGAATTTAATTCTCTTTAATTTGATATACATATTTATACATATACCTTTTTATAGTTTTCACGAAAATGGAATTAATGTGGAAAAAAGGTATACAGGGTTTTTGTGTATAAACACCTTTCTCCGTAGGCGGCCTTCGGCCGCACTTATGGGTTATAACTCTCACAAAGTAGAATTCTCTTTCTGTGTTGCGAAGAAAAGGCGCTGAACACCTTTTGCAGAGTACACCTTTCTGCGTAGGCGGCCTTCGGCCGCACTTATGGATTATAACCCTCACAAAGTAGAATTCTCTTTCTGTGTTGTGAAGAAAAGGCGCTGAACACCTTTTGCAAAGAACACCTTTCTGCGTAAGCGCTAAATAAATATGTATACAAATTAAAGAGAATTAAATTCTCTATCAAATGATATCAAAATTGTCCAATTCCTTGAAGAGGTTTTCGAGAAATATTAAATTGAGAAAATGCTTAATTTGAACTTTGACCTTTAATAATTGTTGTAGTTGTTGTTTCCCAAAAAAAAAAAATACATCGTTACACTCACCTCAATGATCTCTATCGATCCCCGTATGAATTTTTTTAATTCGAGATTTGGTAGTATTGTGCATTTATGCCATTTCTTCTCTACTTGCACTAGTCTATCATTCTAATTTGAAATTTATTGGCAAAAAGGCTTTTTCGTTTAGATACACTTGTGCGTGTGGAAGTATGTAAATAAAGCGAAATAGTTCATATAAACGGGCAACTCTAAACTTAATTATCCATTATGGTGCAAAACTTCAACTAGCGAAACTATCGAGTGTGAACACGTTCGATAGTTTCCCGTTCTAATTAGGCATATTGTTATACCATTTTCCCACACCATCCTGAATTAAACGGCGTTTCGACGCCAACCGAATCACGCGGTTCGCTATCTCAATTATGAACTGCGAATCAACCTGTTTACACGTCACATTCGTGATCACTTTGCATTTCTGTTTCTTGTTCTTTGCTTTTGTTTAATGATTAATGTGCTGTTTATTGTGCATTTCAACGGTGGAGAAAAAATTTGCAGTGGTAAATTAGCTAAATCAATAGTTTTAACGACTCTAGCTATTTTTTCAATGTTTGTGCTGGTGGGGAATTGTGTGGTCTATGTGTTTTGACAGCCGTTATCGATAAAAATTAGAAAATACAACGATTTGTTCTTGATTCGCATGTTGATTGGATCTGAAACACCTACGAATGAAGTGATTCGCTCTCCAAAATTTGTATGGCGAATTACGTGATTCGGTTCGCAATTGGGGCGCCAAATACCGATGGGATAGCGAATTACGATTGGGATAGCGAATAACTTGACGTGGAAACATCGTTTTAATTCGATTTGACAGTTCTCTGTCTGGGCTTTGTGTTTTTTCGGGTGGGGTTTAGTAGCACTCACAACTATTTCGGGCTATTCCGTCCAAAAGGGGTTGCCCGATCCAAAAAAAATTTCACACACTTGTAGTCAAGGGTCTACGCATTATTTTAACACTCACTTTTGTAAATTTTGGTCGCTAATTTATTTACAAATTGGGTTTGAAATATGGCCTTTTTTGTAAACTTCGGAAATTAGCGTACATTTATCACCCCTATTCTTCTTAAAGCAGCCGCTTCACCAATATATTTTTGTATTCCCCTTCACTTTACACTTTACTCGATTAGTTATAACTTGCTTTACGACTTTAATATTAACCAATTAATCACAATTCATTAAATAAAAACACCTTCAAATCACGCGTCTGACTTTGGTTGAGAGACAAAAGAAGATAGGATATAACCCAGTAAGCATTAAAAATATACATAGATGTTCTCTGCAAAAGGTGTCCAGCTCCTTTTCTTCGCAAAACAGAAAGGAGAATCCTACCGCCCCTGTGTTATAATCCCTAAGTGCGGCCGAAGGCCGCCTACGCAGAAAGGTGTTCTCTGCAAAAGGTGTTCAGCCCCTCTTCTTTGGCAACACAGAAAGCAGAATTCTACTGCATGAGGGTTATAATCCCTAAGTGCGGCCAAAGGCCGCCTACGCAGAAAGGTGTTCTCTGCAAAGGGGTTCAGCCCCCCTTCTTTGGCAACACAGAAAGGATAATTCTACTGCCTGAGGGTTATATTCCCTAAGTGCGGCCGACGGGCACCTACGCAGAAAGGTGTTCTCTGCAAAAGGTGTTCAGCCCCTCTTCTTTGGCAACACAGAAAGCAGAATTCTACTGCATGAGGGTTATAATACCTAAGTGCGGCCGAAGGCCGCCTACGTAGAAAGGAATTCTACGCAAAAATACATTTTATAAAAACTTGTTTTTTCTATTTTTAATTAACTTTCTTATTCTTTATAACCCCTCCCCCTCCGCCACCACCCCAAAAACGATGTGAGCGCTACTCAACATTTCCCTTTTTTCTTCGCTACAAAATTTATGCAAAATGTAAGTTATTGCTAAAAATTTATAAGTTTCCGTATTAAATTGGTGATGTAAACGTGTATAAACTTTTCTTTTCGTACTCAGAAAAAACGCAAGTTTTGATTTGTGAGCTAGTTTTGATAAATTCCCGATAAAAATTAGGGACAGCACCGATTTGTTCGTAATTCGCATGGTAATTGGATCTGAATTACCAACAAATGAGGTAATTCACTCTCAAAATTTAGTAGGGCGAATTACGTAATTCGAAAGGTGGTTGGAGTACGAATGACGAATGAGAGAGCGAACTACATAATGGGGGTGGCGTGGGAAAGCCGTATTAAAGGCCCTACACATGCATAGATTTATCGACCAACCAGTTGACCATGCTACTTAACGAAATTCCCTACAAACGCACCAACTAGTTGGCCGATTTCATTTGAGTAAGAGTTTTAGAACTGTGAACAACACAACAGCCCCGGTAAACTTTTAAGCTAGGCTAGGAATGCTCCTCATTTGTATGTATTTGTTATTGCTACCGACCCCGTTTTCACAAATTATACGCATTTTCACTAGCGAAACGAACCGAAAAACACATGTTAACGTTAATGCGCCTTTAATAAAATGAAATCGAATTTTAGGTTGCCAACTTGTCTACACACAGAGCAACAAGTTGACCAACTTGCCACATAAATCAAAAATTTTTGTTTTTCTCCAACCTGACGAACAACTTGACGAAGATTTGTCAACTTGCCTACACACTGCTTATTTACCACCAACTTCTAGCGGTCGCCCAACTAGTTGACCAACCTACATAACGAAGTTCCTTACAAACGCACCAACCAGTTGGCCGATTTCATTTGAGTAAGAATTTTAGAACTGTGAACAACACAACAGCACCGGTAAACTTTTAAGCTATGCTAGGAATGCTTCTCATTTTTATGCATTTGTTATCGCTACCGCCCCGTTTTCACAAATTATACACATTTTCACTAGTGAAACGAACCGAAAAACACATGTTGGCGTTAATGCGCCTTTAAAAAAATTAAATCGCATTTTAGGTTTCCAACTTGTCTACACACAGAAAAACATGTTGACCAACCTGCCTCAAAAAGCAAACATTTTTGATTTTTCTCCAACCTGACGAACAACTTGACGAAGGTTTGTCAACTTGCCTACACACTGCTTATTTACCACCAACTTCTAGCGGTTGTCCAACCGATAAATCAATGCGTGTGTAGGGCCTTTTAGAAGAATACGAATATCGAGCGGGGTTGGCACTCCACACAACCGATTGCGTAGACTAACACCAGAAAAATCGTACGAAAAATAAAAAATCGTAGGAAAAGATAACAATGCCCGTAGTCATAGTCAAAATAAAGTCGACTTTAAAGTTAGTTGCAGCTTTTTTGACAGATATCCCATTGAAAATGATGTCAAAAAGCTGCAACTAACTTTAAAGTCGACTTTATTTTGACTATGACTACGGGCCAATAGGTTTTTATTTTAATTTCAAAACAAAACAATATCAAAAACATAACATTTAAATTTCAATAACATTTGTACTCTTTTATGTATTTTTTATGGTAATTCTCTAGGGTGGGGTAACAACCCCTAAAAAAGGTGCGGAGGGGTA